ATTGTGGCGATGAATATGGAAGCCCCCCCCCCCCCCCCCCCCCCTCACCAAAAAAATAAAATATTGCAGGGTTTTATTTATCGGAGAAGTAAAGCATGCGTGGCTGAACGCTCATTTTCCGCCCAAATGTAGCTCTAGAGGTCCGAGCAAGATGCCAAAGTTTCAGCACCAACCATCGTCTTATTTATTTATTTATTTCGTTATTTATTTATTTATGTATTTATTCGAGTACCTTAAAGGCCCGTTGCTGGGCATTAGATAAGGGGGACTGTTAAAGTAAAAACACAAAGGATAGATAAAAGATAATGCTGTGATGGATGAATGGAAGAATCATTTTATGGGCGCAGGAGCACTTCAGTAATAAGAGAAATCGCAGTAAACACAAGAACACAAAAAGTGACAGGGGCACGTCAGTGAAAATCTTGAATTATCTACGACACGAGCGACAAAACTGACATCCATGACCGTTATATACAATTTTCAGAAATTTTCAATGGGAAAATAGCGACCGGTGGACCTCTGTGGCGACAGTTACCGAAAACGGGCGAAAATGGGCCTCATTTTCCCACTAAAACTTTCAGGAAATCACATAACTTTTGAATGATATGACGATTAGTTCTAAAACTTTGGCGTCTGATTCGAACCACTAGGGCTAGACTTGGCCGGAGAATGTGCGTTCTGTGATGCAGTTTAGTTATGCAGTAAAAAGAAATAACCCTGTAATATTTCAGAAGGAATACCCTGTACATACAGATTTGAAGCGCAAATCTAGAGTGCTTTTTAAACGGTGGGAGACGGACTGAAGGGGCCGGAGGCAAAACGGTAAAGTAACAGTACAAGTATTGCATTTACTGTAATTAGTTATATTTGTTTTAACTAAGTAGTTTACAAGTTACATAAAATGTTGGCACCTATAACTCTAACTTTGTTGTATTCTTGTGTAACTTGTGACTTGGCTTATTTACAGTTACTTTACGAACTTTTCGACGTTCATCTCGTGCGCTGTTGTTCTCGGAGAAGTTTTCATTCATCCAGACAACAGTGTGCGGAATCAAAACCTAGGCTAGGATGCGCTAGTGGGCACAAGCTGGTGCCCGATAGTACTTCCAACGAAATCAAGGCTCTTTTGTAATATTCTTCGTGAACACCTTGAAGCGCAGCGCTAAATAATGTTGCGGCGTGCCAGTCGACTCGTTTTGAAGTGCTTCTTTGCCAGTTACGACATTTTTGGCTTTAGTTTTGCCGTTTGTCTCGCGGCGTCGGCGTGAGTCGTGTCTGCTTTGTCACATGCACTGCCAGCTCGGGTGCGGCCATGTCGTCGGAGCCGTCAAGTAAGTCTGCTGATAAAATTAAACTCTATGCACGACTCACTCAAGTTTCCCCCGATTCTTGTGGCTAAACATGTTTTTTTTATTTAGCGACCTTTGCAACAAGTTTAATATTGCACGGTTCAGCAGCACTGATATATAGTTTATAAAGGAATACTTCCGCAATAAGGCCTCCAAAGGCCTCCAAAGGCCACTGACCCGTTTCAGAATAATAAAATACGAATATGGATTTTTATGATCACAATCCTAGAACAAAGCTTCAGTCACTGAAGGGTGATGGCCTTGAGTTCTGCACCCCCCTGAATGATTGCTTTTTTTAAAAACGTAGACAGAAGATTTGATGAAGTTTTAACGAACAAGTCTTTGGTCCCAGTGCTGTGTCTGGTACAAAATTTCAAGTTGAGTGGATAGAAAACGATCAAGCGAGAGTCGGCACTACAGCTCATTACGGCTTAAATGAAAGGTCTAAGCTTCTCAGCAGCAGAGTCCCCCAACTGAAACTTTATCAGTATCGGAGGAAGGTGAAGTTGAAGGATTTTTGTTTTGTTTTGAGGTAAAAAGAAGCAACGTAAAGGAGGCATGGGAGGAGGGGCATGATAACTACCTTGCCCTCCGCCTGTCGAATTCTCTGGATTGTCCAAGCGAGGTGTCACTTGTTAACGTGGTTTTCTAAAACACCGCACTAATTTATAGAGCAGTGCAGCAATTGAACGAATGTATAGACCACTTACAACGTAACCGCTTATAGTGCAGGACCGGGTATAACGCGGTTTTTTTAAACCACCGGTTCACCTCCCATAGAACTCCATGTAATAACATACCGCTTAGAATGCAGGCGAGTGAAGGGAAATACCGGTTATAGTGCGGTTTCTGGCACAGCCCGCCGACCGCGCCGACGACCGGAGCAGCGAGCACGCTTCCCTGTGCGACTCTAGATAACGGCGCTGACGGCGCGAGCCGCAAGCGGCACTTGCGGGGTCAAGGAGGTTGCTCGAAAAAGCGGGGAGAAGCGAAGAGAGAGGCTTCAGTTGCCATAGCGACGGAGGGACGCACGCACGTGTCGTTCACGTGCGTGCGTCCGTCCGCTGCATTGGAAACAGACAACCGCAAAGACGGACCAACCGCAGTTCGAGGAGAAGTGTTCGCGCGCGTTGCATGCCGGTCGCGGGCCGGCTGCTTCTATCCGCAAACATGGCGTCGGTTGTGATCGTCCTCGTAGACGGCATTCATCTCATCGTTCCGCGTAAAAGCGCTATCCTTGACTGTGAATTTTTGTAGTGTGTCGCTATGATAACCCAGCACGAACTAAAAGGGAAAATCTACCTACTCGTGCGGCGATGTCCTGGCGGCGCTCTCATGACGGCAGAAACGCCCGTGTCGTCGTATTTGTTTACTTCGACTACAGTGGTGATTTCTAAGCATTTGTGTCCTCGAACATCGCCCGGATTTCTTATTTGGCGCATTTCATGCGTGTGCTCAAGTTCAAGGTATTACTGGCTCGTACCGTATGAAGGATGGGAATGTTCACGCGTTTTCATCTCCGGAGAAAAGTGATTAGGTTTAGCAATCCTGAACGCCGTTAAAAGGCTGCGCCAGGCAAAAGCCGCTTATTTCTTTCAAAATGTGTGACACACTTGAGACGGAACTGTACTAGTCTGGTGAAATAAAGACTTTCCTCAAACTAAGCTTTATTTTTCACCTAACATAAAAGAAATTCTTTTACAAAGGTAAGTTGTCTCATGGCATGTATTTTGGCCTGAAAATTGATGTTTTGGTTATAACGCGGTACCGCTTATAGTGCGGATTTTCGTGACTCCCGCGACATACGTTATATGCGGTCTACACTGATGCTTGATAATGATGAAGCATATAACGAACTTGTCAGACAAAATTTTTGAATGTTTACCCCTCAAGACTAACCTCTCTTAACTGAACTTGATTAGCTTTTCAGAACGTAAACTTGTTTCTGGTTATCGAACCTCTGTGCGTTTCGTTTCAAGTAAATGCGATGTAACTTAGTTGCATTTCTAGCAACTGTGACTTTAGCCTATTACAATCGTAAGTGTGTAACCGTAGCTGTAACTTAAATACATTTAAGATCATGTAACTGTAATTCCAACTTAAATACTTTTCATGAATAAGTTTTACAACTCTGACAGGAGGAGAGTTCTGCGCGTCGTCTCGGAGGCCATCGCCCTTCATTTGTAGTCCAGCTGGCACTCGTTACTTGAAATGAAGGCCCATTACTGTTTTTCACTATTCTGAATGCCACGCGTCTCATCGTTAAACGTTTAACTTACCATGACCTTGTTGGTGACGTACCACGTGACTTGCACTGTCCTTTTCGGTGGCACGGCAACCTTGACCTCGATTTTCAAAGTTTCGGTTGTGGTCTTGACCTCGGACGTCGTCTTGCTGAGGCTGTATTCGAAGTTGTATTTGCCGCCTACACTAGTAACGAGAGGTACTCCGATGGTAACGCTGGTTTCGTAGTTCGTCTGAAATCCCCTGACCAACTTGGTGGTGGTGGACTCCGTGTTTGTGTAGGTCTGCGATACAGTTTGTATGGTATCCGATGAGCCCTGGCCGTTTGTAAACGTGGCGGTGTAGACCTGTGTGGGCGGATAGTGTTCCCCGATGGGTTCTCCAAACTGAAAGTTTGTCGCCGTCACGGTCAGCTTGTGCCTGAAACAAAGCACGTGTAGGTGACGCAATTGCGCATTTATATTTGTTAAGATTTGTTTCTTTACTCATTAATTACCCCGCAGTGCCCAGGCACGTTAGAGCAGGGAGGTTTACAAAGAGAAACAAAAAGATATCTATCTTCATTCAAAGAGCACGCTTGTTCTCCCGTGAGCTAGTTCCAAAACGCAATCGTTGGAAAAAAAGAAAAAATTGGCGAACATTTTTGTTGTAGTGCTGTACATTCTCATTGTTGTTTGAAGGCCGGTGGCTTCGCTGCGTTTCCATAGAAGCTAAGCCTTTTCCTTTGTTTACTTTTTCCTCAAGTAAGTTCGCTCTTCGCAAATTTTACAAAAAAAACAAAAACAAAAAAAAAAGCACCATCTGTGGGCAACGTTGCACAAAGTCGTAGCGCGATAGGTCAAGAAACCGAATTTTGCGGTCGATTTAAAGAGCCTGGCCTCTCCTTTAATCGCCCTGTATTTTGTCACGGAAGACATACGACAAGGCAGGGGTGAAATAAAGAAACTAAGTGTTTAATGTGGTGAACTTGTGCCAAACAAAAGATGAAATCACTAGGTGTCGCGGGCGTCGATTTCGGCGAAACAGCAGGATCGAGCGCTGGCGAAAGACTTCGGCTCGCCACGCGAAGCCCCTTATGTGCACGCGCGGACTTCTGAAACAATAGGCGTAGAAGCTTAGGCGTGTAGAGCATCCGGACCTCGAAGAAGCCAGCAGGGCTCTCGAATTTACCAGAACGCGACATTTACAGAAATAACAAAAAGCTGCGTTTTTTTCTTTGTGTGGGAAACTAACATAAATAAACTTTTTATGATTTAAATTTATTTTCCTTACTGAGCACCATCTATTTAAACATGGACTACTAGACACTGTTTGTATTGCGCTTGGGGCAACGCATGAAAATCATACACGTTCGCAAGTGTGATTCCGGCTTAACCTCGAACCGCTCACCGAGGTGAGGCGGACCTACTCTCCAGCCAGGACGTTAGCTGCTTGTTGTACAATGTTGCCGAGCGTCTCTTGCTGAAGCATATACACCACTTAGCGCAAAAAGAAATAAAAAAACAGACATATTTAAAAAAATGCATGTGTTTTTGACAGTGAAAGAGCACAAAGTTTTAAATACAATACCTAAACAAATCAAAATCATACGAAAATATCTAAAGTCTCAAAGCGCTGATCAGAATGCGCCAGAAGCCTCATGGCCATTGCATCAACGATGGCTGTGCTCGCGGCAGCTCTGGCTTTCACTAGGGTGGACCATACTTTCACGACGTGCTGGAACAGAGGCCGCAATCGTTAACCCTTAAACATGCCCCGGCCTACAATATTTCATGCTACGAGTCTCTGTGGAAACCTCCTCCTGCGTTCCAAAGCAGTAAGTCCGTCGCTAACGCTGGTCGTCGGCGATACAGCAGACGCCGCCATCTTGTCATCGCACACCCCAATGACGTGCCCCTGGCGCACGCCAACATGGCGGAAACGTTACGCGGCACCGGCATCGTTCAAAATGGCATTGCGCAGGAGCCTTTATTGCAAACGTGTATACGAACAGTACATTTTTAAACTCCTTATACGTATTGTTATGTTTATGTGTGTACTTACAAAGCCTGGCAGTTCGACGACGGAGCCATAGAGTGCCCGGTCGCAGATTCGGAGCGCGAGGATCTGGTAGCAGAGAGCATTTCTGGTATTCAAGCGCACAGCTTGAGCAGCGGCGAGGACCCCAAACATGGTTTTCAAACCTGACGAGAAAAGAAGCTGTAGTGCGAAGAACGCGAGGAGCACGAGCGGACATTCCATCACGCGGAAGAAGTGTGTTTCGGTTTCTCGCCGCTGCGGAACGCTCGTTACATGCCTCTCCTAGAGTGCCTTCATTCACACGCGCCTCGCCACTCATTCGTTGTTGTGCCACTCTATCTTTTCACTTTCGGCGGCCGCGTCTCGTGGTGACCTGCCAGGCTTTGTCAGTGTAGAGGAGGCTATGGTTTATTTCAATGGTTCCAGTAGCAACCGCCAAAGCTGTATCGTGATGATACAGATCGCCGTGAACGAACAACGGCGGGATGTAGCAGCCGCATATATAACACGCAGGGTGGAAAAGAAATTATATTTTATGAGAAGTGAACTAAATCAGGCTTGTCTGACTTAAATTAAATTTATTTGATTTAAACCACAAGATTTTGATTTAAATCAATGTGACTAGAAAATTATGCTTCCTAATCATTATATGAATTTTTAAATGTGACAGACCGATTGATTACTCAGCCCGATCACTGAAAACAATGCGGAAGAAAAAAAATCTATAGATTTAACATACAGGTTTATAACAACTTTCCATTGTGTACAACCCGCAACAATAGAACAAAAACAGCTTGCTATTGTTTAGTTGTTACACAAGCACTGATTGCTATTTTATTGCGCTCAACATTTTTTTATCCAATAGCGCATGACTTTTTAGTGGTACTCTATTTTTTCGCGTCCTTTTCTTTCTTAATAGGACCCTACGCAACTCACGAAAAAAGTGAATTGTAGAAAGCTCGACGTTTCAATTTTCTGAATACACCACTGCTTTCTGGTCGTGTTCATCCTGATATACGCCTTTCTTACTTAATGATTCAGTGATTTAAATACAAAAAAAAAAATGCACGTAGCATAGAATGAGAAAAGATATACCTAATAAAAAATATAATTTCAGTATTATTTTTTGCGAAAATTGTTTAATTTTACTCATCTTATAAAACCGGTTCGAGATAAGTCCAGATAAAAGTCATGACTTAAATCACGTTTTAAGTCACCTTGATTTCCATTCTTTACCCTGACAACAAGAGGGCAAGAGTGCTGCAATCGAGAACAACATCAGGACCATGGATGGGCAAAGTACATGCAAATATGTATCGAAATACAAAATACTTCGTCAAAAATGTATTTAATTACAGGTCTAAATACATTTACAAAAAAAGCATTTTAGTACAAGATACAAATACAACCAAATGTATTTGGTCGCCTCCAAATACTTTTCCAAATAATATTCATCAAAATTTGCGTCAGCGACTTCAGTGCACCTGCAACGGGTTTCTGGGTATCTCATTTTAATTTTGCATTGCACACTCGGGAGTTAGTGTGCGAGGCTCTAGTAAAGTAAAAAAAATATATATATATAATCACAAAAAGAAATTAATCAGCTTGGACGTAATAGGGGAAAAAAGTACAGAGCTTCAGGCAGCTTTTTTGTCCATTACATTTTGGTATAGACCAACAAAGAACCGAGACGACCAAGACGCGCAGCACTAGCTAGAAAAGTTTTTTTTGTTGCAACTCGCACCAGTTACGAAAATCTGGACGACCCGCGCATTTAGAATGTTCCAGGCAAAAATATGGATGGAAATCAGGCTGGAAAGCATCACAAGTTGTCACAGGCACTTATTTAGCCAGTCTGCCTGTGAACGTCGATTTCGTCACTATTCTTGCTCTGGACTAGCACCGTAATCACAAAGTCACGAAACGCTTGTGCTTGATTGAGAGACACTGCATGAGAAAGAGCAGCTTCGGACACTTCTTAGGATGAGCAAAGTGAGTCGTGACAAAATTGTGTTTAATTACAATTGTATGTGAAATACCCACGTTTTAGTATTTAAATACACACGTCAAATACATTACCCAATTTGTAAATAAATATTAATGCAAAATACACAAAGTATTTGAAATACTGCCCATCCCTGGTCAGGACGATAACAACACCGGTGATTCCTAAAACGCAATTAATAATTAATTTTAGCGTATGACTTCGTGTTTCGGGAAAACAATTGTGGTTAATCACGAAAAAAAACACTACCATATTAGGCATGTTAATAACCATATTTGGAGAACTCCGGAAGCAGCTAAATTTAGCGGGGAAGGAACAGGGGCATACCCCCCCTTCCGTATCCTGCCCTCCTCCTCCTCTAAAGCTGCGCTCTAATTCGGCGTTACAGAAAATTTTAAATATGTTTAATTTTTTCAGTTGGCTTGTATTGTTTTGTATTGTATTGTTTTTTTAAAAAGCATTACTGTCGAAACCGTTATGACGAAGCCAACGGGAATCAGAAATCACTTCGCTATATGCGCTATTTCGTTATAACCGACTTCGGTTATAACAAAGTAAACGGGAATTGGAAATCGCTTAGCTATGTCCGGTATTTCGTTATAACCGACTTCGGTTATAACGAAGTGCAAAAGGGCATTGGAAATCGTGATGGCTTCGCTGTAGCCGCTATTTTGTTATAACTGACTTCGGTTATAACGAAGTGCAAAAGGGAATGGGAAATCGTGATCCCTTCGCTGTAGCCGATATTTCGTTATAGCCGACATTGGTTATAACGAAGTGCAAAAGGGAATGGGAAATCGCGATGGCTTCGCTGTAGCCGCTATTTTGTTATAACCGACTTCGTTATAACCAGTCACGACTATATATGTTGGATATAGTTCTTACAGCAAGAAAAATGCTAGCACACTTCGAGTGTCTGAGCCGATGTGTTCGATGCTTACGATGTACAATGGAGTTATTATAATGTACGCTAGATGTTCAACTGGCGTTGGTGTCTATGCTACTTACGCGAGGCAAATTGAAGCAGACAGCAAAAGTTACTTTTGCGCTGCTGCTGTGCATTCTTATAAGAAAGCGCGCGTGCATTTTGTCTCTGCAGGAATTACATGAAACACTTTTTCCATTTAGGTCGTGCCGAATAGTATGTACCTCTATTAACATTGTAAAAGTGCAATTGCTTTAGTCAACGCATTTTTCTTCATCAGTGGACGACGTTTAAAGTCGCTATATTTCAGGCCCAAACCTGTTCCCCAGCAGGTGCGTAAAAACAAGCTACGATTTTAAGCAAAATAACAAATGAAAGGAATATAGGATCTGTATCGTTCTTGTGTGGGCTGGTAAGAATAGACAACTCGAGTGTCAGGATAACACTGCCTTAGTTTATTTCATGTTGTTACTTATATAGCCGAACGTGGAAAGTGGTTAGTGTAGTAGAGGGCAAGGGAAAGGCACGTGGCAACGTTACTAAAACACTCAGTTGGGAAACTCCCATAGAGACAGCTTTGAAAAAGTGGCCCCAATCTGTCTCCGAGCACCGAGCTAATGACGAACACAACGCCACCATTTCTCCCGCAGCGGCCACTCGGGGAACTGCACGTTACTTCTATTTTGGCTTTAAGAACAGATAGAGCGGACGAGGTTACAGGGGTGCCACCCCCGTCTCCCCGGCGGACGCGCCGCGTCGACCTACCGAAGTTAAAATGCACCTAGGGCGGGACGCGCTACCTGAAAGGACCGCTGAGGAATGGTTGTATAAAAACAATATTAATTGTGCCGCAAAACCCTGCAAACTAAAGATTTTAAAAACATAACGCGCCCTTTTTTTTGTACTAAACTCTAATAAATTTCATACAAAAAGAGTCTTTTCCGTTTGTTTTTACGCAAGAAAAAGGCTTTCAAAAAGCTCAAGGTGACCACAGTACAGACAAACGATAAAGAGTGGCGCTGTTGTTGCATTTAGCTCGGTCTCGGTGGACGCCAGCGGCCCAGGTTTCGGCGGCGAGTTTCCCAACTGAGTGTTTTAGTAACGTTGGCACGTGGCAATGGAGCCTACAGATAGCTTGTCCGCCTTGATCTGATACGATACATCCTCCTTCCCAACGGTCGTTCACCGCTGAGCTCAACACCTCTGGCTCGTTTGCTGGAAGCGCTGGTCATAACCCTATCGCTCTGGAGGCCGCTTCTGTCGTGTTGTCCTTCGCGGTGGCCGAACCGTTGGCTGCTGAGTTGCCGTTCGTAGAGCCGTCGTAGTTGCCGTTTGTAGAGCCGTCGTGGTGGTTGGCGCTGTGGGTGTCATTCCGTGTGACGAGGCCCGGTCGTCGTCCGAATCTTTGTCGTCTGACAAGTCGACCTCGCATTTTTCCATCGTCGCTAAAAGGGGTCGACGGTTGCGCCGAAGAACGGTATTATTCTCCGTACGCACGTAAAAGCACCGCGGGCCGGCTGATCCAACCACCTTGGCTTTCCGCGCCCATGACGCTCCATTCAGGCGTACCACGTCGTCGTTTTTAAGGCGGGGCAGCACCAGCTCGTTGTGGCTTGTCTGTCAGTGTTTCTTTAGGATGCGTTTGATTATTTGTACACCCTTTTCCGTGAGCCCGTTATATTGGGGGTATTGCGGGCTGGATTTCACATGTTTGAAATTGTAATGCTATGCAAACAGCGCGAACTCGTGGCAAGAACGCTCCCACAAGCCCCCTGCGCAACCCGAATTGTACGCGCTGCAATCGAAGGCATGCCTTGCGACGCTGCCCGGCATACGGAAAGACCTGCTGCTCGTGCAATGGGCGGAACCACTTCGCATCTTGTTGCCGCGAGAAGGATGCCGTTTACGAGGTACAGCATGAAAACGACGACTTCGAGGTGCTGGATGTCGCAGTCGGCAGCGCCAACAAAAAACGCGACTGGCTGGTGGACGCGTGTCTTCAAGGCAAACACCTAAGTTTCAAAGTTGACACTGGGTCACAAGCTAACGTGTTACCACTATCGGTGTTCCGCAAGTTCAAGACCGTGACGCTGAAACCCAGCGGCGCTGTTCTGAGATCCTACAGTGGCAACGTCATCAAGCACGTCGGTACATTTTTATCGCCCGTGACGGTAGGCGACCGCCAGATATGCGCCGAATTTTTCGTGGTAAAGAACGGCCACAGCGCTATCTTGGGCTTGGCAGCTAGAGAGAAGCTAGGCATCGTCAATCGCGCTGTTGAAGGCCTGTCAACGAGCAACACCGAAGCAGTCGTCGAGGAATTCTCGCAGCTTTTCCACGGAACCGGGCGTACCCCAAAGGAATACAAGATGGTGCTACGCAAGGACGCCGTGCCAATCGTTCAGCCAGCTCGAAGGGTTCCCCTGTCGCTGCGAGAGCCTCTTCGTGCAGAACTGGACGGAATGGAACGCGAAGGCATCATTCAGAAGGTCAGCAGCCCGACGGACTGGGTAAGCCCGCTAGTCATTGTGCTAAAAAAAGACGGCAAGTTGCGGGTATGCATGGATCCGAGAAGGATTAATGAGAACCTGAAAAGGGAACACTACCAAATGCCTCGTAGAGAAGATATTGAAGCGGACTTGGCAGGCGCGAAGTTTTTCTCGCGTCTGGACGCAAACGCAGGGTTTCACCAAATCCCACTGGACGAGCATTCATCCAAGATATGCACGTTTGCCACGCCGTTCGGCCGTTATCGCTTTCTACGCCTTCCATTCGGCATAGCGTCAGCTAGTGAGGTGTTTCAAAAAGCCCACAACGAAGTGTTCGAGGGCCTCCCTGGCATACGTGTATACGTGGACGATGTGCTGATCTGGGGTGCGACTAGGGCGGAGCACGACCAGAAGCTGCACGATGCACTAAAGGCAGCTGAAGCAGCGGGCCTAACTTTGAACGCATCCAAATGCCAATTCGGCGTTCAAGAAATTTTGTTCCTGGGCGACATCATTAGCCACAAAGGCATTAGCCCCACTCCCGCCCTTGTGGACGGTCTTCTCAAAATGCCAAAGCCACAAGACAAATTGGCAGTACAAAGGTTGCTCAGGGTTGTTAACTACTTTAGCAACTATCTACCGTCACTTTCCCAGTGCACTTCGACTCTGCGTTCTCTGATCAAACAAGAACGATACAGAGTCTGTTCAATGTTCGCCAGCATTCCGGTGGCGCTTATATATTGCTGTTATGCCAGTCCTGTCACTACATACAAATTACGCCGCCTTGCATCTTCACGAGCGGTTAAAACATTCAAAACGTAAACAATAAAGGATCTGGTCTATGTAAGGCGTGTTTTTTATTATTATTATTATTATTATTATTTCCTCTACCCGGCAACTTTTAGCGGGTATTTGTTCTAAAACATTTTGAGCTTGCGGCTGCTGTTTTGATTGTACAACGAGCATCTTCGCACAAAGCAGAAATAATAAAGCGGTACTTACTAAATATCGCACTATATTACGTGGCCTTCAATTTATTTTGATCGTGCATGCACAGGGAGCTACTGATGTAGTGTTAATCCGTCCGTCTTGCCGTCTTTCATGGCTTCGAAATGTTCTTCATTCGTTTGGCACGTATATACCCCATGCCGAAAAGCACCGAGGTCGTGTCCACGCTAACAGTGTCGGACAGTGCACACAAGTACATGTAAGAAGCCGTTTTAGCGCCGTCTTTAATGCAATGAATTTGAAAGAAAACTGCCGTAACTGACCAATTAGTTCGTTTGCGTGACTGAGAAATGTTCCAATCTACTTAGTACTTACGAATTATTCGTGATATTTGCCCTTATCATCTCACTTTGTCCCCATAAGAATGCAGTACCGGAAGTCAATTTTCGTCTGATCGGTGTCTGTTTCAAGTTGCGACGGCGCGCTAGCGCCAGTGGAACCTCATGCGTACATCATAATAGCTATACGCGCTACACATCATGTATGATTTCAACAAGTGGACTACTGGTTTGAGCGACATCTGCTGAAGCTTGGTCCATCGCACCTTTTGTACACCGGGCGATGCTGCAACTCCTGCCTTGACGCCGTTATGTCGAAGAACTGTACGGTGGTCCCGTGCTTCTTCGCGTAGTCCTTCGCGTATCTTTCTACGGTCTTCTCCAGGTTGAAGATAAACTGTGACGCCTCTGAAGAAAATGCAAAATTCTTATTCAGTTATTGTTTTTTGTGGTAGTTACTAACAAATAAGAAACGCAGGCCAATGCGATTCCCGAGCATATCCTTCTCTCCACGCATTCAATGAGATTGCAGATTTCGCCGAGAAGAATGCCAATGAAACATTCACGAAGCAAGGATCGCGAAGGCGGGAACACATTTGCGAAAAAACGAACCGAAAATCGGAGAGAAATCGGAGGCTGCGAAAATCGTAGCTTGCGATTTTCGGAAGACGAGCCAGACGAGGTGGAATGCGCGGCGCGGAAATCGCAATGCACTGCGGTTTTCGTGCTCCGACTTCAGGAAGCTGTGCGGTACTCTGACGAACTGGCGTCCGATATTTCGCGCCTCTTAAAAACTTCAGCTTTTAAAACCTCGTTGAATGCCACGCGAGCCTTTGTACCACCACCCTTTGATAAAGAAAGAAGGGGTTTTCTACGAAGTTTGAGACGAGAACGCAGGAATGGCATATGATGTTGCCTGCGCTGCTTCCGAAGCTGCGTGAGCCGCCATGTTGCGAGCCGATCGTATCTTTTCGTTCCGTCCTGTTCCGGGCTTTCGCTCACCGAGCTCCTCCGCCCCGAATTCGGAGGCGCCGTGCGAAAATATCTGGCGCTGCAGATCTTTCGCACCGCTCTCGATTTTCAGAAAAGGGGAGGAGCCTAGCTGCCGTGCGATTTTCGTGTGCGGTTTTCGCACAAAATTCGGCTTTTTTTCGCAAATGTGTTCCCGGCTTAAGGCACGCCATGCGTTTCTGAAGTTGCCAGTGAATATAATAAAAGTTAAAAAGAGTCGTGATAAAATATTTCCTTCGTTTTCATATTCTTCGCCTGTTTAGCGAGCAAATAGCAGCTTTCGGAGCACGCGAACCGCAAACACATTCTCGATTCCCTGATAACTTTCGTCCGCTCATCGGGGATCGCCTGCTATATTATCCTCTTCACAATACCCTTCCCATGTTCGCTTTGCCCTTCATGATTAGATGACTTTATCAAGAAATCGTCAGGCATCCCTTCCTTTCATAAATACGTTTCCCGGCACACTGACTATACTTCGTTTCACCTTATCTGCGAGCGAAGCTAAAGCTAGAAGCGCGAGACCAGCGCTTTTTGCGTTTCTCCCCAGCTCGCTCGCTCGAGCAAAGCCTGAACGCACGGAGCTTTCGTGCTCACGCTTCCAGCTTTGCCTTCGCTCGCACATAAGGTGAAACGAAGTATAGGCCACCGACGCGAGTCAAAACATTCGTCGACGGATTTATTGTTCACGAGCACATACGTCCAAGTGACGCACTGCTCGTGTCGAATACGTGGGTTGGGTTCGGCGGTCTTGCTTGTGCATCGCGTAATCATATACTTTAGTAGGGATAATACATCCTACTTCCTGATTTTACACTGGCCTCGGCACGGACAGGTTTGGCGCAGTTCGGATGGTTGAATGACCAGGGACTTTGAGTTTTTCTGCAACAAATTGGGAGTGGTGAGAGGCGCCATCTATTGCCATGGAAGTCAAGGTTATCAGGCATTCGCAACGAAGGTTCGAAGGGTGCGCCGCAGACCGTTCGGTCGATGCAAATGTTTGCTCAATATGTGTCGTAGCTTGTGTTCCTAAACGTTTTAAACCCCCCCCCCCCCCCCCCACCCCCCCTCAAAAAAAAAATAAAATTTCGGCGCGGCGAGATGTTTAAACCGCTAGGGGAGAAATTGGGGCAGTAGGTGCGCCGTCTAATGCAAATGAGCGGAGTAGGATGTATTCCCCACACTAAGGTATTTGGTGTAATCATTAATGTGAAAAGGTACAGAGCTTTCGAAGGGAAGGAGGCACGAAATAGTCCGCTATATTTTCAAATTTTCGTAAGGAAAAGCGGGCTTTTGGCTTTCTACGCGCGTAAACTAGTTTTATTTTGGGGTACTAAACGACATGCGATTAGTAAAACCTCAATTTTCCTGAGCCGAAAATTAAATTTAGGGTTTCTTTAAAGGAGTAGCTTGGCACGTGGAATACGAAGAATGGATCTGCCGATGACTTGCGGTTGTATCTGGATGTAAGCATACATAAGCTTCGGAATGTGAGAAAAAGAAACTGCGTGAACCAGCCTTTAAGGGCCGCCCGCACTAGCGAGAAAACGCGCGTGGCACGCCGATCGCGGGGAGTAACAAAAAGTCACCGTAGCACAGTCAGCGATACGAGCGCGTGCAGAGACACGCCCTTTATCTTCCCGCTCAACCGATTTATCAGCGCGCCGCGCGCGTTTTCTCGCTAGTATGGGCGGCCCTTTAAGGGGTATTCACACGAGGGAGAAATCCCGGGGATTTCTCCCCGGCACGCGCGCATCACGAGATAAAAACGCGAGGCTTTTGCACATCGCAAAGCCTGACGTTTTCGTCGTTGGATGCGCGTGCCGGGGAGAAATCCCCGGGATTTCTCCCTCGTGTGAATACCCCTTTACGGTCTCGAAGAATTCATTTTGCTGATCATTGCATTCCCGAAATTTGAAATACGTTTTTTCTGCGTGCATACATTGTTAACTTAAACATGCCTTATATCAGTTAGGGGGGCGTATAAAAACTGATAAGTAAAAAAAAAAGAAAAATCTCACCTTCTCCAACGATTACCTGAAAGGGAAACATCATGAAGCGGGTCAGTTTCACTGTAGTTGGGAGAACAAAAGACAGAAACAATAAAGGCCTGTTCACACATACAGCAGAGCGCTAAGTTAACGCACGGCCGGACTGGAAGCGCGCGCTCTCTTTTCCTTCTTACGGCCTTTGCAATCGCCCGGGAGTTAATAGCATTTTTTCTCCGTACGTAGTTCACTTGCTTGCCACCATTGGCGCAACCAACTCACCCCACTTCACTCCACTCGGAGAGTCCCTTCGAGCTGCTTGGCGCTGGTGTTCGAGCTTCGCAGGTTGTTGTTCTGGCAACGGTTTATCGAACTTCGCTCCGATTTAAGTCGCTCTACCGACAGGCAGTGTCATCAGCAAACTGCGTTCCCCTGTGACATGGACGGGACCTCTGTACTTGTGTGACCCCTCGCAGGCCGTTGTCTGGAAAGCGCGGTCATGGTCTGCTGCTGCGTTCCATTCTGTCAGTCGCACTTCTGGACAACATTGTTGCTTCTTTTTTTTTTTTTTAAGGCTGTTAAGCACCTTCCGCGTACAAATGTGCACGAAGCTCTGCAACTACTCATTGCACACTATCTTGAAGAAGCGCCAATCCTAAGTTGCCTAGAGGGCATTGACAACAGTCACTCAAAGCGCTTGGCTGGTTTAATTTGCATCAAGTTCCTCGGAATACTTCGGATTAACCATGCAAAGGCGGTCACGGAGAGAAACAAAAAATCAACTGGATTTGTGCACAAGCCCTCGAGGAAGCACTTTAGGCTGTAATATGCACTGTGCGAAAATTGTACAGACTACTACACCCTCGTATAGTTCAGCTGACCGACATCATGTGCGGCCTATGAAATGATGATGCAGACCACGGCAATATATAGATTGCGCCTGCTTACATTTCACGAGAGTGTACGAATTATTTTTCATTTAAGGTTCCTCCACGTAGAAAGGGTCCGTCTCCTCCTGTTCTTGAGTTGCAACAGAAGTCCTGGAGGTAAAGACGGGTATAGTTTTCCCGCAGTCACATTTGATATCTCTACTTACTACTTTTTACTCCCAACTCTCTCGGAGATGTGTGTCAAGTATTTACCGTTTTGGGCTCATCAGAAGCGCATTAGATAGTGGCTGAGGGTCCAAATGGAAGGATCAGATGTCAAAGAATATAAAAATCTCGACCGCAAGTTGCGACAGCGCTGACATACACTGTCAGACGCGCTCTGTACAAACGGCAAAGGGTAGCCCAGGGGTGAGGTCACAGCGCCCCCCACGAATTGCGGCGGGACGTGGCGATTGCCACAATTGCAAAGGCCGTAAGAAGAGAAAGAGAGCGCGCGCTTCCAGTCCGGCCGTGGTTAACGCTACGTGAGCGCTCCAAGGAGTGCTCACGTGGCGCTTTCTAGTGCGTGACTTCGTTCTAATATAGCGCGTGATTAGCGCTTTAGTAGCGCCTCGTTAGCGCTGCAGTAGCGCCTTGTTGGCGCTCCAGTAGCGCCTTGTTAGCGCTTCAGTAGCGCCGTGTAAAGGCCGGTTCAGACACTTGCGTTTGAGTGCGTTTGACTGCGGTGCGTCGAGAACCGAAAGCGAGTCACCGGCACATCTGTGCTTCGTATGACGCGTGGAATCCAATTCAAGGAATCATCTTGGCACGCGATATAAGCAGCAGGGATGTCCTGGTGTCTCGCAGCCGCAACGCAGTCAAACGCAGTCAAACGCAACTGTCTGAACCAGGCTTTAGCGCTTCAGTAGCGCTTCTTGTACCGCGGTGCTGCCGATTAGCGCGTGCACTGTGGTTCCGGTTCTGTGGTTGGGTATGCATCAGCAGCACCATGGCGGACATGTGGGACGCTAAAATAAAAATGCGACAAATGCCCATACATACGTGATTAATGCATGTGTGTAAACGGCTTAACGCACAGAAGAGCCTTCTGGGCGCGCGAAATCTTTCACCACCGAGATACCGACAGGTACCCGCGAACCCTGTTCCTACACTGTTAGCAAAAATAACACGCCCAGACGTGTAAACCGTTGTCCCATAGCGGACACGTCGAAACGTGTTCGTTTTACACGAGGCCATCTGTGTTTTTCGTCTACACATGAGGTGCTGTGTAAACTTAACACGCTACACCGTGTCTGCCTTCCGCAAAACCGTTTCGAGCCTGTTCCTTATGAAACATGGCGGCCAGCGGCCGAGAACAGGCGAGAGACGAGCCCAGCGAGCCGCGCGCCTTTCAGCCGAATTGAAAGCACACAGGGCGCGTTAGTTCTCGTTCGATGCCTTTTATACACAGTAAAGTCTCCAAGCGGCGGACGTAGCTACTTGCAAAGGTACGTACGTGCGTTGTCGGCGGTCAGCGGCGTCGGTAGCTTCAACAAGCCGCGAGACAAAAAAAAAAAGAAAAGAAAAAAAAAACGAATGCCGAACTTACATGGTTAAATCACTTGAGCAAACTATTTAGAATCGGGCGGTAACTTCGCCACCTATGGAGATTTCTAGAAGCCTGTATTTAAAAAAAGACGAGTCTGTTAACACTGCGAACGGTCACGACTACGCAGCAACCGTACATACAGCGCAGGCAACACCAGTACCACGTACTACACAGCACCGACGTGTACACAAACACAACAACGACACTACGCTCGATATCCATTTCTCCCCGCGGCGCATATAAGCTTGACATGTGCGGGTGAGCTCTTTGGTCGCTGACCATTACAGATTTATGGAAGAATACACAAAACACGGAGCAATGGCAAGCTGTGTTCTAGAACTGCTTGCATTTAAAAAGTATGGAGGCAAAATCTATAATGTTAGTCCGTTGCAATAAATAACGATATGTTAACAATAAATCTTAAACCGGTCATGAAAAAGTTCAAATTTTTGTTATTTTCTTGCTTGACCAGTGTTATGAGCAGTCCTACTAGCTTGAATCAGATAGGAAAACAAATTATTGGGATTTTGTCATTACGTATACAATAATAAATGAAAATGATCCTTGCGCAAAGCATTTTTCATATATTTCTGTTAAGGACATCCGGACATCCGCCCAACACTTCACTTCCGCTAGTTGCAGCAGTTGCAGTACGGGAGCAGACGCCTTCCCTTTTGGGGCGTTTTGATGCAGTTTGTTGTCGTATGTCGTGTCGGTGTCGAGAAGAGCGGTGGGGCTTGGGAGTTTGTGACCGGTGTTATTCGTGAACACTGGTGTGGGGCGCTGATGCGTCTTTTTTTTATACTGCCACCACCCCGAACTTTGAAGATACACGGGCCCGTAGCAGTGCATTATGCTGAATCGCGAGCTCCTCCTCTGTTGACGTCGCTTTCCTGGTACCACTCGTGGATACTGCAAGCGTTTCAACAGTGTGCACCGTCTCGCCTACATCCCCGGTGACGTACTCGACCTGTTGAAACTTATTGCTTCCGTCATTTTATAGTACGCAAGGCAGTTATCTCGTTGGTCTGGTTTCGGTTATAAAAGCAAGGCAAAACGCTAGCAGTTCCCCCCCTCAGTAGACGTTGGACATCTTCCACACTTTGACACCGGATAATTGAATGAACGAGGATTTACATTCACTTCCGAGGTTACTCTCGCCGCTTCCTCACCGTCAAGCAGCAGGATGAGCTGGCGACAAGCCGCGGATGAAAGGCTTGAGCATCAACAGCCCAAGCGCACTCGGTGCTGATGAGGGCGACGCAGGTTTCTGTCAACCGGGAGGCCAGCACAAACCGTGACCGTTCCAGCTCTTCGTCATGACACGGTGTTGCAGAGAGCAGGGTAAAATACAGCTACACGGATCACCGAAGCAAACGCACTGCTATCTTAAATCTTGGCTTTTGATTGCGCCTTTGTAGTAGATCATCTTAATCGCTTTGCTGGAGAGACGCAAACGACGGGCATAAGAAAATCGCTTGCATATTCCGCATATCTCACAAAAGCATTTACCCTGTTACCTTGCGAAAAGCGCGGAACACGGAGTCCGCACCGTCCTAAGCTTCCCGTTTTTTACCTGCTTTAGAGCAGTTTGTACCTGCTAGTAGATATGCCTACTGAAACTGAAACAGGGCAGTGCCAGAGAGAAAGAGACAAAGTTGGGAAAGCTTGCTCGCTCTCCAATTTCTTAACTCTCAAGTGATTGTACCATAATAAATGCACCAACGCCTCTTCCAAAATAAAGAAAGAGCAGTACGTTCACAACGTAAAAAATGGTCTCAGTAGATGCATCTGTGGGCAGGTAGGAAACTTTGCCCTAATTTATTCACGCCGCATGATTGGCGCAACTAACTCATTGCAAGACCGAATCATTTACTCGAGCGGTGTGCGTCGCTGTGAAACGCAGTCCAACACGAAGCATAAAAAAAGGCAGATTTAAGACAACAATCCGGAGTCCATTATTCAATTAAAACGACGTAATTTTGTTGAAAACGCCCGCTGCTTCTTACTGACGGTATGTGTCGGGATACTTCCACAGTTTGAAACGGAACGAAGGAAGATTTACTTTTAAAAACGCTCGCTGCGTCCTCCCGGACAAGCTGAACCGGATCAGCTGGCGACGACGGGACTGTACCCGTTGAACCTCCACCCCGCGACAAACAATTTGCGCTCCGTGTTAAAAGCGTGGTTCAAACAGACCCGGAATACAAAGCACCGCACCACACACGACAAACGTTTCAGCTCTTTTTCGCATCGCCGGGTTGCACCAAACAGAACGAGATCGCCGAAGTCAACGCCGCGCTGTCGTGAACCTTGGCTTGTGGTTGCGAACTCGTGGACCCTGTGACTCCCTTCGCTTTCAAAGCACACACGACGATTACGAATGGTACTTTCCGTCTTCCAGGAACATCACAGGGGCACTTCTCCGGTCACGTCTTCACTATGTGCTCGGAAACTCCGAAGCTCTATGCGAAGCTTCTCGCGTCCCGTCAAACCAAAACAGTAGCGGCGCCATGCGTACTTGAGATTTTCTCCGGTCAAACGAAAACAACGAAAGCCAACAGGCTCTTG